CAGAATCTCAGTGGGCGGGTCCTGTGGAGCCGGCCCGCCACTCAGCAACGAGGGATTTCCCTGCCTCTGGCCGCTATTGGCGCGGCTTCGGTGCCCCAATGAGCAAGTCCGGCTGTTCGGCCAATCACGGGTGGCAACTCCGCCCCTGCCCTCCGCCTTCCTGGAGAACTCTGGGGCCTTATATAGTCTTCCAGAAGCTTCTTGGGGCGCTGAGGGAAAGAGGCAAACGAGGGGAGTAGGGGTTTTTTTTTGTTTTTTGTTTTTGCTGTGGGGAGCCCACGGTTTGCAGAGAGGGGTTGAAGGGAAAGCCACCATCGTGAACTCAGATCTACTTTGAAGCCTGAACTGGCTCTTTTGGGGCCTGCTTTTTATTTTTTTCATTTTGCTTCTCTGCTTTTTTTTGCCTTTCTGCCTCCATTGACCCAAACAAAGCCAGTTTGGAACTAAAACCCTACTTTTGGGGGATGAGGGGGCTACAGCACTTGGCATCCCCAGAGCCCCTGCACTGCTGGGGGATTCTGGGTCTTGGAGTCCCCTGGAGGCACCTTTTCCAGGCTCCAAAGGAGGAAATGTGCTTTTTGGCAACCCACTGGCGGTCAAGAGAGCAATGACATTCTGGCTCCCAAAGGCACCAGTGGGAGAGCAGGATTTTGAAGCCATATATCACTGCTCTGGATTTTGTTTCTTTGGGCTTCACTCCACTTTGCACAAAATCCCAACTTGTTAAGGCACTTTACTTTAAAAAAGAAAAAAAGGTCAAACCAACCATTATTCCTTCAGCACTGGAAGTTCGCATTTCTCTTGTCTTGGTTGTGTTGAATTAAAAAAAATTGATCTTAAAAAAAGAGGATTAGATCTCGTTGATGGTTCCCAATGAGAGCAGCTCTGGGGATTTTTTATTTATTTATTGGATTTTTACCCTGCCCCTCTAGACCATGTCTACTCGGGGCAGCACATTCCTTGAGAGTTGACTTCACAAGGGCCAGTTCCTTGAAGGGGCACTGGTCTTACTCTAGCTGGGGTCAAGAACTGGATTCAGCCCCCTGGTACTACTCCAGAGAGACGCCGGTGCAGAAAAAAGCTTGGGGCAGCTTACAGCCTACTTTGAGTCTGTTTTAGCAGACCTGTTGCTTTGCTGGGCTTTTGAAAAACTGCTCGTGCTTAAAGACTCTGCCTCAGAGCTGGGGAACGAGGGTGTAGGGTTGGCCCCCTCATCTCCCCTGATTTCTCAGGGATGTCTGGAAGTCCCCTAGCTCAGGCAGATGGACGAAGTGTCTACCTTGCAGGGTTGGGATTTTCCCCTGGAAACTACTTTGCTAGAGCTGGAGGTTTCCCACGTCCACTCTGCTGGAGCCCTAGGGGTGCTTCCCTTCTTTCTCTCCAGGGCAAACCCTTCTGACTGCAAAGCCTATGAGGAACAACATGCCAAGAGAAACCAATCTTTCTGTCTGGAGAAGCCCAATTCCCAGAAAGGCCAAGGCATGAGAGCCTCTGCACTCTCCAGCAGCTTGGCTTGGGGACTCATCCCTCTTAGCTTGGTGCCAGGGTTAGGGTTAGAGTTGGTGCCAGGATTTTAAATGGGAAACAGCCCTTTGGGACTTTGTTTCGTTTAACTACACTGTGGTCTTTTTCTTTTATTAGGGCTACAGTAACAGCTTGCTAGCTGAACCATCAAGTACTGTAGCTGTTTTCACTGTATAAGAGGGCAGCATAGGCTTTCATTTCCTTGCACGGACATTTATCTTAACGACAGGTGTCTAGATTTTTTTTTGGGGGGGGGAGGAAGACCCAAAATTCCTAAAGCAACACGGAGAGATCAATTCCTCACTGGGACTTAAAGGAAAAGGCCCTTTGTGTCTAGGCTTCGGCAAGCGAGATGGTATGCTAGATGTATCCAAGTGTTTCAACAGAAGCCAAAGTGTCCTGCTTTGTTTTCCAGTGTTACTTTATATTTTGCATATTTGTGTGTGGGTGTGTTGGTGGGATCTATTGTGGGTTTTTTAATTTAAAAATTCTATATATAATGTGTAAATAAAAATGCACATCAAAGTTCTGAAGAGGTTTTAGAGTTGCCCTGACACCCCCTCCCTGTTTTCTTTTCTGCTAAAACAGACTCAAAGAGGGCTTTCTCTTTGAAACTGCTCCCCAAAACAAAATATATAGCGAAACAAACATATAAATAAAAATAGGCATCAAAGTTGTGAACAGACTCAAAGAGGGCTTTCTCTTTGGAACTGCCCCCCAAAACAAAATATATAGTGAAACAAACATATAAATAAAAATACGCATCAAAGTTGTGAAGGGGCTTTAGAGTTGCCCTGACACCCCCTCTCTCTTTCCTTTTCTGCTAAAACAGACTCAAAGAGGGCTTTCTCTTTGGAACTGCCCCCAAAAACAAAATTATTAGGGATAATCACACTGGCCTACCTGTCAGGACTGTTGTAAGGATCCAAGTAATCTCTCATGCAAACTGATTCAAATATTAAGAAGCTGTCATCATACTTTCCACAATGATGCATAACTTTTGAATGCAAAAGGGAAAGGTTAAGATTATTGTTGTTATTGTGCTGTGGTCGCAGTGAGGGCAGCTAGCTTAACTTTGCTTAAAGAATGAGATGGGCGTGAAATAATTTAGTTTCTCTTCTCCAAATGGCTGCTGAATGGGGCATTGAGAAGAACGCTCAAATAAACAGCAATTCAACCAGCCACCAAAGTCTAGTTTCCTCTGCTTCCGTGTACAATAACAGAGCAAAATAACAGGAAGGTAGAACACCGTGGTGATTTTTGTGAAGTATACAGCTGTGGTAAGCCAAAGGGAAATGTTGCAAAGTGGAAAAGCCAATCTAAGCCCTTGCAATAGAAAAAAAGAAATATCTTTCTCTCCCTGCAAGCATTTGGCAGTTGAATGAGCTGCAGAGAGCGGAGCTGTTTTTACACCAAGAATGCTGGCTGTTTCTTTTCTCCTTGAAATGTTTCCAGTTGTTTTCAGTTACTGGTCTGGTGCTGATATTTTGAGTTCAGTTGCATTTTAATACTACACTGGACGAGTCTTTCCTGTAATTGTTTTTTTCTGTGTGGCCTTGGGCCATTGCCTTTGGGAGAAAAGCACATTGTACAGTAAATCAAAGAAGCCATTCCTTATGGGAGATCTCACACTATAAATCACAGAATCCCCCATCGAGAATGGATGCTTCCAAGTTTATCCCTGGGTCCATACAGGGCCTTCTGTCCCATCCTTTTCCCCCTGGCCCTGTCCATCCCCAGAAGGTGGCCCCTTAGAATTATGCCAACGTCAAATCTGGCCCTCGGGGGCTGTCGGGCTTTCCCAGCTATGGGAACCAGAGTCGGCCCAGCCAAGAGATCAGCGCCATCTAGAGCTTTAGGCTCAATTAAGCGGTGGTATCTCTGTGTCTCATTGCCAACTCTGTTCTGCCGCGGGTGATTGGTTCATTCATTTGGTGCAATTAGGGTGGCTCTTCTTTTCGTCATCTTGCACTCTTACACTGTAGTTCCCCTGAGGACGGAGTTCTCCTCTGTGATCCTCTCTTGTTGTTGAAATCCACACTGTTATTTCCTTTCGTGTTTCTAAAATGGACAAACAGGAAAGCACAAAATGTAATCTCTCTCTCTTGGTACCATCTCAGTTTCTGGCCAGGTATCATGACAGCTTGTCTCCTCCTCCTCCCTCTTCTTGTGCGAATTGGTTGTTCAAAACAAAATTTACACAACCTTCCACAAGAGGGGAAAAACCCCAAAGAGAAATGTTTTTATTTAAGATGTCAGTCACTGAAGCTTCACCTTCGTTTCTGATTTTTCTTTTTTCTTTTTCACCATTACGGCCATTTGCTGGCTGTGGTTTTGTTGTTAACCAGAAATTTTGGGGTTAGCCACACACATTGCAAAAATGAATCGGTTCCTAAACCGAGTGTTGTGATCCATCTGCCGTTTAGTTTATTTCAATGACCATCTTGAATCTCACCAATTCTGCCTTATGGGCTGACAGAACCCCTTCAAATCTAGGTCAACAACCAGGGCACCAAATGGCAGGTCATAGCTCTCTCTCTCTAGGCTCTCAAACTCTTTTCGTAGGTTTTTCACAAGGCCTGCCTATAGGTAATTAATGCCCAAAAAAGTAATTGCAACACAGCATTCTAACATATGCCGGAAAAATGTCTGAACAATGAAATGCTAGCAATGATATAAACCAACGGTGAGCAATGGTGGGACCACTAGATGTTTATGAATGATAGTTGCCCTAACTCACCACCGTTGGCTAGGACTGATTGGAGATTTAGGCTAAGAAGACTTGGAGCGACACCCTTTTCCAGCCTTAGATGAGCCGTCCTTATGGAGGCCATAAACCCAGTGATACATTTTTTTTGTCCCTGGTGAGTGTCAACACCTAAGGTTTAAATTAGAAGAAACCCAGGTATACAGACTCTCTGGAGCTAAGAAAGGTGGTTTCCTTTTCGCTCCAACACCCAGAACCCCTGAGAAGTTGTATTTTGGGACCAGTAGACCAAGAAAAGAAACTTCCCAAGCTCTGATCTTCGCCCCCTTCGCTGCCTTCCCCCCTAGAAGAGCCTCCGTGACTAATAAGCCAGGTTGGCGCCAGAGCTGGGGGCGGGGAGGTGAGGTTTTTAGCCAGCTCTGCCAACTGGTCCCTAGTGAGTTGAGCTTGTCTTTTGTAACTTCGGCGCACTGTTACGAGGAGAGATCTGTTGCAGAGTGCGTGCAAACCGTTGCAGGTTTGTAAGTGACTGCCTCAAGAGGCAAAAAGCAAGGTGGCGAAGCAGATGACTTGAAGCCAGTCTCTGAGCCGTGGCCGAGCCTCTTAATTCTGC